TGTCAAAAATTACACTCAAAGAGTAGTCATTAACAATTTCTCTTCACATTTTAGAAGTTCAGTCTTGAGCCATCTATTGATCAATATTTTAGTAATAGCCATAGAATAAAATCCTCTTCTCTTTTTTTCCATTTTTTCCAGTATTAGAATATTTTCCAGAGAACTAGGTCTTCACATCCGAAGTAAGCTAATTTGAATCTCCTTTTTTGGTATTGGAAAGGAGTATGAATATAGGTTCTAATATTTTCAGGAATCCATCGCCAATCCAAATTTTAATTAGCAATTAAACAAATGAATTAATTGATTATTTAATTATATTGACAGTGTTTTTTCCTCTTGTACTTGGCAGATGTAGGTTCATATGCAAACATTATTAAATATGTAATACTATAGCAATGGGAACAGCAAAATGATTAAAACAGAACAGTTTGCATTGCTCAATTAGTATTGCTTTGAGAATACAATTGTTTGAACTGAATCACATTGGAAACAATTTGCATTCGGACAACCTGTCAGTGCTGCCTCCGATCAATTCCTATGAAAGAAAACTCTTAAATCTATAGATTCAGAGAAAAGGTAGTTTTACTAAGAATGAACTGAATGCAGCCAAAGTCAGGCAAGGTTTGAAGTATAAATCCTTCCATTTCCTACCATCCAGTCAGACCTGAAGAAGCTTCTTGGATGAGAAGTTCAAAGAAAAACCAGAAAGTCCAGTTGCCTCTTGAAAAAATAGCACCTTTGGGAAGCTGTTTAAGTTTTTCAAATGCCGCATGGCAGTCTATACTCCACTTAAATGGCTGACTTGGCTTCAGTTTGCCCTTGCATTTAGTTTTTAAAAGGTTGGTGATTGGTAATGTGATTTTGGCAAATGAGAGAATAAATTGCCAGTAGAAATTGGCAAAGCCTAAGAAACTTTGTAACTGCTTCCTAGTGCAGGAAGGGGCCATATCTACTGAGTCCATCACTACTCTTTCATGAGTAAGTAACCCAGGTCATGAATTATCTTGGTGAAATTCTAATTTAGAGATCTTTCTATACAATTCAGCTGCTTGAAGTCTCTTTAGGACTGCTCACACTAACTTCACATGAGTCCTCATAGTCTCAGTATATATTAAAATAACATCCAAATACACCAGCACCCCTTTATATAAGTAGTGATGCAACACCTCAGAACAGTTGCATGAAAACCAAAGGGGAGTACTTGGAACTGAAAGCATCCCAGAGTGCAGTTTTCCACTCATCACCTTCCTTGATTCGAACCCAGTAATAAGCCTCCCACAAGTCTAATTTAGTGATGATTTTGCCTTTGGCTCTATGTGCAAGCATGTCTTTCATCAGAGGCAATGGGTAAACATTTTCTATGCACACTGCATTTAGCCCACTATAGTCAATGCACAAATGAAGGGTTCCATCTTTTTTCTCACAGAACAACACTGGGGCTGCCACTCGCGGTCTAGCTGGTTGAATAAATCTACATTTAAAGTTTTTGTCTATGAATATGTGAAGCTCCTCTAGCTCTCATGGAGGCATTGAGTAGAGTTTAGGTTTTGGGAGTTTAGCCTCAGGAAGGATTTCAATACTACAGTCAGTGGGCTGATGAGGTAGGAACACGTAGGAGTCCTTCTCACTAAACAGATCCCATAGATCCCAGTATTCTTTGGGGATTCTGGGGTCACTTTTTGGGTGCTCCAGCATGACCACCCCTAACTTCCTCAGTTTTTTGGTTTTCTTGCCTCTGGGCATTGGGATTGCTTCCCCTTTTTTGGCTGCTTTGTGTCCGGTTTTTAAGTAACTTCTCCTCCAGTTCACATAAGAGTTCCATTTCTGGAATCAAGACGTCCAAGCAAGAGGGATCTCTCCATCCCACATGCCACTATGAAACTCAGAATCTCTTTGTGCTTTCTCATTCTCATTTACACTGGCTCAGTTATAAAATGAGCTCCCCCCCAACTACTGTCCCATCCAGTTGGCAAAAAGCTATTGGGACTTTTAATTGCTTAAGTCTCAGTCCCAACTTTTCCACCAGCTCAGAACTAACCACACACCTTGTGAAGTCCAGGTCCAGTAGAGGCAACATCCTCCCCTGGGTCCCTGATGAGGGCACAACTAGTTACACAGGAATGGTTACAGGGATTACATGTTGATTTACCAGAGGATTATTCTTGGAATTGGTTTCACTTTTTCCCAGGCCAGTCAGAGCTCACAGCCCCTCATAATCACAAGTCACAAACTCAATGACCTCCACCCCTTTCAGCACTATCTCACAGGACCTTGGAGCTGGTTTCTCTGCCTTTTTTCCTGGAGTCGCCATTGCTTTGGGGCTGAGCTTGGTGGATTGGCATTTGGCAACTAAGTGTCTCTCCTTCCCACACTTAAAACACGCTGTGGATCATTGTCTGGGCCCAGACATACACTTTGCTGACTTCTGGGTTTCCTTTCATCCTGAGGGGGAGGATTTGTGCCATCTGTAACTGCCCCCAGTGTCAGTCTCTGGCTAGGTCAATTTCTATTTCATCCACCAGCACATTGCTGTAGGGTGCATGGGGCCCATGAGATGCAGGCCGTATTTAAAGCAATTGATCAGGATGTCTTCAGGCCATGTGGCTAGCCAATACACTAACTCTTGGAACTCCTGGTTGTATGCAGCCACTGACTGCTGAAATTGGGTGATGATCTTCATTTGGGACTGAGTCTTGTGCTCCACCAGTGAGGCCTCAAACCATTGGTAAAGAGCTGCCATGAAGTGGTCATAGTTCTGCAGCTGGGGGGCATCATCATTATGGAGGGAGACCATCCACTCGGCCCATTGCACACTCAAGAGCCATGGTCATGCATCTTACTTGGGCTAACTCCATCCCCAATTCAGCCCCATACTCCTGCATGTAGTTCCAGAGTTGCACCAGGAAAAACCCCAGTTCCTTGAGGTCTCCCCTGTACTTCACTCTCAATGCTGGAACATTTGGGGTCCAGCATCTCTGAGGGACAGCTCCTGCAGGTGGAGGGGCTCATACAGTGACAGCTGCTGGTGGTGACACTGCTGGGACTGGGGCTGGTCCAGGTGGACCAGGTGCTACTGGTGCTGTGGCTGCTGGTGCAGTATCTCCATTCATGGCTTTGCTTGGGGTGGTCCAAGGAGCTTGAGCAGTCATCTGAATGAGTTTCCCAGGCTCTCCAATTCTCAATCACTTCTTGTAATAAGTACAAGGAATGGCTCAGCATGGCATCCTCTGGATCTGAATCAAGAGGGGGGACTTTGCCTCTATCCCTCTCATGCCACTTTAGTCTGTGGAAACCTCTGCTTCCTTGAGTAAAAGTCAAGGAGGGTTGTTCCTCTGGTTCTCTTTTTTTTTTGCCCCACCCATCTGAGCCTGATGGGCTTCTCATTGAAGTCCAGCTCCTCTCACCATTCTGCCTCATCTCGAGCATGGTGTGGTCTAGTGGGGGAGTCGGCTATAGCTCCAGTTTCCTCCAGCTCACTCCCATGGTTGGACATTGGATGCTTGGCCCCCTGTTAGACTGCAGTCTCCAGGTTGACTGTTAAAGCAGACCTTGGCTAATATCAAGGTTGCCTCTGGAAAGAAAACCCTTGACTCCATAGATTCAGAGAAAAGGTACTTTTACTAAGAACAAACTGAATGCAGCAAAAGTCAGGCAAGGTCTGAAGGAAACATGCACAAAAAAGACAAATTGAAAATTACCCCAGAGCCCACCCCCAGTAGTCAGGCAAACAGAGTCCAACCATCATCCAGGATGATGTTTTGCGAATGTCTCTGGTCCAAGTGCTCCATGCTGCCCTTGTGCATGCCATTCCTAGGACGGTTCGCCTTGAAGAGGTTAAACAAGACAAGCTCTCTGAGTCCAAGCCTCCCCATTGGTTGTTAGCAATTCCACTCTCATACTACCCTTACACTTCCTCTCCCAAATGCCCATTGCTCCCTCCCTCCCCATTGGGAGGGTAACACAAACTATTCTTCCATCTCAGTGATTATCTGCTCATCGGCTTATTGTTGATTATTACATGTAGTGCTGTTGTAATATTATAGTTAAAATTTGGATTATGAATCAGGAACTTTCATTCTAATGTCATTTTTGTTTTGGATATCTTAATTTCTCTTACTACTTACTTAATTTTCCACACCTGGTTTCATCTCTTTTTCCCTTGTGCATTTATTTAGTAGAAAGATAATACTAGTGTTCTATTACTTTTAGGATTATATGTCTGTACTGCTATCAGTATAATGCATATTTGCACATAGTATATATGATATACACAACAACTATGAATAATATCTGACAATACCTTAATATGAAAAAACATGTGGTTTAATATCTGCTAAAGCTAGACCACTACCACCTTTCTATCTCCTTTATATTTGCTGTCTTTAAAAGGGACAAGAATGAAACAACTATTCCAACAGATGATCCCCACCAACCCAAATACACTGTCACCAGTTTTACACTTTGCTTGTTACAGAATACAGTCTTGTTTTAAGGTTATTTGTTTAACACAATTGGATGCCATAAATCATTGTTCTATGAAAACTGATTATTAGATCCCCACATTTACCCAAGAAAAATATCAGAAGCTAGTTTATCTCACTCGTGCTATGTGGCTTTCTTCTAAGAATCCATTTCTCCTCCTTCTAGCCTGATTTAAGACTGACAAAGGGAAATGTGTAGGAAAACAATACATCCAAATAATCTAGTCTAAGTTGTTTTTTGTACTTTCTCTGCAGGGAATCCTACGGTTGTCTCAGATTACAATGACTATTTGTGCTTCAAGACTTTTGCTGCATTTGTCATTAAACCATAAATTGAATTAATAATGTTCACTGCAATGGGAGGAGGGAGGCTACAAAAATTGATCAGGGTCAGTATCATTTGTTGTTGTGTCTCACATTTTGCTTAATTTCAGCAGCCACTGCTCCAGATTGCATAGATTCTGGTGGAGAAGAACTTTTCTATGATATATATTGCAACATTTTTATTGCATTTCACAGGTCCTCCAGTAAACGTTACTTGCAATATTTTTATCAACAGTTTTGGATCAGTCACAGAAACCACAATGGTAAGTGCGGCAATGCCACTGGCACTGAAACAACTATCCTTGATATATGTCATAAACACAAACTGTCATTATTTTTCTATTTATTATTCAACTTGCAGGTCCTCCTGTAAATGTTACCTGCAACATATTTATCAACAGCTTTGGTTCAATAGCTGAAACTACAATGGTGAGTGGGGTTGCCTATTGAAGCCATCTTGTGAAGGAGAGACATGTGCCATGGATCTGAGGTTTCCTAAATCTGGAAGCCTCAGATGTGAGGGTGACCAAGAATGTTTATTAACTTTCAGAAAAATCTAAAAAGTCATTTTTAAGGGGGAAAAAAAACCTTGTGAAGTGATTTTTGTTTAGCATTCAAATTAAATATATTAACGAATGGTGAGCATAGAAAAATACAGGCGGTCCTCGATTTACGACAACAATTGAGCCCCAGATGTATGTTGCTAAGTGAGTTTTGCTCCATTTTATGACCTTTCTTGCCAGAGTTGTTAAGTGAATAATTGCAGTTGTTAAGTAGTAATATTGTTGTTAAATGAATCTGGCTTCCCCATTGACTTTGCTTGTCAGAAAGTCACAAAAGGTACACATGATCCCTGGACACTGCAATTATCCTAAATATGAACCAGTTGCCAAGCATCTGAATTTTGATCATGAAACCAAGGGGATGCTGCAACAGTCATAAGTGTGAAAAATGGTCATAAGTCACTTTTTCCAGTGCTGTTGTAACTTGGAACAATCACTAAATGAACTGTTGTAAGTTGAGGACTACCTGTATCAGTTTTACAAGGCAGAATAAAAATATGATAAACAATGTTTCATGACGATCAAAATCAGCTAACTGAATCAGTTATCTTTCTTATAGTTCCTACTGGCAATATAACATAAAACATAAGGAATGCCTTATGTTTTTAACTCTGCATGAAAAATTGGGCAAATCATAACTTTTGCTTACATCAACAATGGCCAACTGTTTTGGCAACTGTATCAACAAATCAATTCCTAGTATAAAAGAACACTATTAGTAATCTATTACTATTACTATTCCATCTACTAATTTTCTTCTTAATTTAGTGGGATAGCAGAAGGATAAACAACTACGTGTGTAGAGTAAACTTGAGGCATTTGGGCTCTCTCGTTTTTATTCACATATAATTGGTGCCAAATGCAACAAAACCTATTCAGGTTATACCATCTGCTTCTGGAATATTACAGACATCAACTTTATTTTCAAGAGGAAAATGTCATGAAAGTAATTCAAAATTTTAAACTCCAGAACAAGGGAACTATATATTACAACAGCAATGGTAGAGATAAGGCTAAGAGGTTGCTTACAGCCCACATTCAGTGGCTAATTAGCAAGATGATATGGAAGCTGGCAGAATTTTCTTTCCTCTTCTTTCTCCACATAGACCCACATAGGAGATATTGCAGAAATAATAGGAGAATCCCTCTTCAAATCCATCTGTAGTTCACTTCATCGTGGATTTTTATTAATTTTTTTCTCTGTTTGAGAAAGGAAAAATAAAATTTGGACATGAAATGGAAGCCCAAAACCAGCAACATAAAATCAGCTCCTCTAATAGTGTGCAGCCACATACCCTGGTCAATCTGTACTTGGGAGAGAGGATTATGAGATACTTTCTACTATGAGAACAGAGCTTCTATGTCTTCTCCAGAATGGAGACATATCTAAAATATTTTCAGTCATTCTTCAGTTCACATTTGTTAAAAAGAAGTATAAGCATTGTTCCATTAGTATTTATAAGCACATCCCCTTGTTAGCTTTCTTTCTTCTTTTTTTTTATTGAAAAAGTTTTCAAATACAAATTTCCCCCCCTTTTTTCCCCCTCTCCCTCCCCCTCCCTAACCCCCCCTCCCCACCCATCCCCCCCTGTGACTTCTTCATAACAAAAAAAAAAACCTAATTCATAACAGATTACTTACTCCCTCCTCTAGATATTGACCTTTACTTACTAAAAATATTATTAATATTATAACATCCCCCTTTATCCATACATTTCAGAAAAGAGAAAAGAAAGGAAAAAAAAAAGACATTATACTATAACATTATAGAATAACTTCTCCACTTTAAAACTATACGATAAGTCCTACTTTAACATTTAATCTTCTATATATATTACTATAACATTTCAAAGCGGCCTTCCCCATAAAATCTAGTTTAACATTTATTCCACTCTATCCATTTCCTCCACTCCCCTAAATATATCACTTAAAAATCCCTTTTCTTAGACTAATCAATCTAGTAACTAGCTTATTCACCCACTATCATGCAAAATTACCATACACAACATTTCTTAATATCTTTGATTCACTGCCCACACTACTTAAAAATATATGTCTATATTTTCCATTATATCTAAATAAAAAAAAGAAAAGACAATGACTTTAAATTTATAATCCATATAGTATCTTCTTTGAGGTCTTTCCACTGGATTGGTAGAACCAACATCCATAATCGGGTAACATAGCTTGCTGGTGCAACAGTTTATTCAGGATCTTCAATCATATCTGCCCCCATCAGTAGTAAATATCTTCTTATATGTATAAAAGTAAAAGCAACCACCCGAGTGACATTATAATTATATTCCATATAGTAATAATTGTGGGTTTCATCAGGATTATTAATTCCCATCATCGTAGTGGGTAACAACCCGATCTTCTGCATGCCCCAGCATAATTCTCTTGCCTTGTGATTCAAGATAATATAATATGTTTATCAACACAAAAAGAAATTCCAAAATGGATAATTCAAATCCATCAGTTTAAGGCTCGTTTCACGTCCCCAGATTACGGCCATGCAGAGATCTGCCACAATCCTCAGGATGATATTAACCAATACGTCGCCTCTTCTGTGTTTACACATAATCATTCATATTTTAAAGTCACTGGCTTCACTGTTGCCTGATTTAGAAATTTCTATTTTTATGCCACCTATTTCTTTTTTTCTTTTCTTTTTGTGGGTTTGGTTTCCATCCTGGTTTCCTTTCTACAAATTGTGTATCATCTGGTCGGTTTTTATTCTGCTTTGTAGATTGGTCTTGTTGGTTTTGTTTTTGTATCTCATGTTTCTTTTTTATCCCTTGTATATCCCCTAATTGGTTTCCATGCTTATCCTTGCCTTGATAAGTCATCACATTAAGGTTAGATGCCACTTCTCTCAAATTTGTAGATAGTCCAGCTGGGGTATCCAATAAATCCAAAGGCAATTCATCTGGTACAGTCTCTGTAATTCGATATTTTACCTTTATTTCCGGCTCCTTCTGCTTATCCTGTATTATACCTGAAGATGTTAAGTTCATTTTCAACCTATTTTGATAAAATTCTTCCGCTCTTTCAACAGTATTTAGCTGATATCTTTCTCCTTGGTATCTAAATATAATACCAACTGGGGCGTCCCACCTGAATGGGATATTTCTCTTTTTTAACTCATTCACCAGAAAACCAAATTTCTTCCTTTCCATCAATATCTTAGGTGGGAGTTCCTTGTAAATCCAAATCTTTCTTCCATACAATTGCAAATTAGAATTGAAGGAATTTTGCACGATATTATTCCTAATTTCTTTATCTGTAAAATAAATCACCACATCTCTAGGCAATTGCCTTTGCTTAGCAATCCAGGAGTTGATTCGATAAACTCTGTCAATCCTACAAAACACTTCGTCAGGTTGAACCTTTAGAATCCCAGCTAGAAATTCAGAAGATATTTTCCTTAAATCATCTCTATTATTTTCCTGCAAACCTCTTAATCTTATCGCATATTCTGTGAAATTATATTGTACCATTAAAATCTCTTTTTCAATCTTCTGTTGCAGATTTTCTGCATTACCATACTTTTGATCAGCATCCATTTTAGGTTTTTCTTCTAAGCTATTATCCTGAGTGTTTGTCAAATCATTTTCAATTTTTTGAATTCTATTGTCCAATTTATCTTGAATTTCTTCCATTTTAGACTCTAGTACATTAGTATTTGTGTCCAACTGTATCATAAATTCTGTAAAACCATTAGCCACTTTTAAGAATTTTTTCTCCAAAAAATCAAACTTAGATTTCACCAATTCTTTAATTTCCTGCTTAAATTTTTCAAGTTGCTGATTCACAATCTTCTCCCTTCTTTCAATCTCCTCTATAAAAAATTCTATTATATTAAAATCAGGTTTCTGAGACTGAAGAGTTAAGACTTGTTCCTTTAAGTTGTTGGTGGGGGAATCCCCCCCCCCTTCTTGTTTATCTGACTTTATGAGTCTCAGTGCCATGTTTCTGCCCAGGCAGGCTTTGTTAAAAAAAAAAGCAAGAAAGAAAAAAAAAAGACTTCTTTCCAATCAACAACAATATCAAGTCTCCAAGGGAAAAAAAAGAGAAAAAGACACAGGAGCGAAGTTTTGTCTACAAATGTAGCCAGTGGTATTTATTCCGCTACATTGTAGTAATAGAAAACGGAAGGACTTTCCCTTTCAGCCTCTCCTCCAGCCGACGCCATTTTAAAAGGCTTTTTTTCCTCTTTCTTTTCCTCCTCTCTCTTAAGTAATTTTTTAAAAAATCAGTAAAATACTTGCGGTTCAGTATTACAGGTCCAGCTCACATTTTCTTTGGGTAGTCTGTTAAATTTGCAGGCTTGCTTTTGACGCCTAGCTCTGCATCAGCAGAGGTCTCCCAAAGCCCGGAGCAGCGGCTGGGGATACGGGGCATCTCATCCGCTCCGTCCCAAAAGTAAAGGAAAAACTTTTGGGACTCCGCAGAGAGTTCTACCCACCCCTGCCGGCTCTATCTCCGTTTCCTCATGGAAACGGAGTTTTTTCGAGCCGCCATTCCGTTGTGAAGGCGGCTCTGACAGGCGATGGAAGCTGACGATCCCAAAGGGACGTCTGGCAGCGACAAACAGCAAACCGGAAGTCAGCTTTCTTGTTAGCTTTCTTCATTTTAAAGGATCATACTATTTAAATTCATGGATCAACCATGCCTTGGATTTCACAAATTGGCCACAC